AGAATTATCTCAGGTGTTTCGGCTACCCCTGCCTTTCTCACTTTCATTACTTTTCTTTCTTTGTGTATTCAGATGCTTTGTAAATTGAAGATTTCTTGGCTTTTAAATGTTCAGGGCTTTTAATGTTCATTGGGGGGCTTTTTGATTTGAGGTCAACTCTGTGGTCACAGTTATTGCTCAGCCCTCCTTATTTCACCTGGATTTAGATCCTCAATTGTCCCTGCTGCAGGGGTGCTGTCACCTCTCCCCTTATACCATCAGGCTTCAGGTTAAAATTTTAGCTCCTACACCAAGTTCCATTTAAAGCAGTCTCAACTATTACATGTTTCTCACTGTTTACAATCGAAGAGATTGTCATCATGACATAATTTGACATAATTTGGATATATTTGATCATTTGCAGTGTCTTCCTCCTTTTCCTCCTCCCTTCCTGTTCTTTATTTTCTTAACCAAAAATCCTTCTAGAAGATTCCATATCTTAGAGGGATACAAAAATATTGGGAAGAATGATCTAATTCAAATTTGTGATTTACATTCTTATGTTTTTTTCCTCCAAAGCACGAAGTCTTTCATAAATGTGCCGTCTTTCACAGCAGCAAGTTATGGTAACTTGAACATCTCAGCTCTGCCCACCCTGGGAACACAAAAGCATTCACATCTCAATTGCTCTGCACCCCACCTACCCATTGTGGTTCCTTTGGAGTTCCCCTCCTCCATGTATTTGTGAAAACTCCCCCACAGGGTGCTTGTCACTTATCCATGCTGAGTCCAGGCTAGAGCTCACTCCTGGGGCTTCCTAAACTGGGTTGCCACAGCTGCCCAAACTGGAATTCTGCTGTTGCTGCTGCATTCTAGCTGCAGATCTGAGTGAAAGGCTTGGTGCTGCTGCCTCATTGGTGGCCAGCTGCCGCAACGCTGCCGTCCTGCCTCAGGGTGGCTCTCGTCTCAGGCACTGCAGCCAATAGCACTTTGGCAAAGTGATAGAAAGAATGCTTCCTCTCTCTATGTTACAGCGAAGATGAAGGGTCCTGGAACAGGCTTGGTTGGCCCTGGAGCACAATGAGTTAGACGTGCAGTGCTGTCTTCCGAGTTGCTCCTGCTGCATCCAGAACTTCCACCTGGAACTAATCTAGTTGAAACTCTGGTGATGCAGCTGCCTTTGAGCCCAGTGAGCTGGGACTTGGCTGCCACCAACACCTTCTCATTTGAGATCCTTGCTAATCGCTTGGCTAGTTTCACTTTTGAGAACGAAAAATAGAGTGCTTCTTTCTCCAATTTTGGGAATCATGTGCCCCAAAATTTCTAAGCTGTGAGACAACTGTTAATTCATATGTACCAGGGCCCAAACATGCAGCTGTAATGCCTGATTCTTCTTGGGCTCTGCTGTTAGCTGTTCAGTTCTCTGCCCTCCACTTCTTAGATCCTCTTGCTGAATTTACTGCACCAGACACCTTACTCCTTTTGGTAAATTTTCTGTCGTCTTTCGTTATGTCTTATTTTATTTGAGGTGCCCTCAACTAAACAGACAGTTGTATATGTGTGAAACCTAACTAGGGTCAGGATTTAATTATTTTCCCAGGAGGACCCACAGTCTCGAATAATCCAGTTTATTCGAATAAACCCTGTGTCTGTAGGAAGGAGGAAGGGTGGTGGGTATCTTCTTATTCTCCCTAACCTGCATGTGCCTGAGTCTTGGCTCCAGCCCAGCCAGTCTGTGCATTTGCAGCCAGTTGTAGTTCAGGTTTTAAACATTTCATTTACAAGTGGCTCCCCCACCCACAGGACACTGTATCCTCTCATCTGCCTTTCCCCTCCTGTGCTTTATCTAACCATTACTTGGACACATTCTCCCTTCCCAAATTGCCTGCTCAGAACAGCCACCAAACGGCTCCAGATTCCTTGTATTTGTGAGTGGCTGGTCAGTCTCTTTCCCATGGCCTTCTTTCTCTTTTCCTCAGAAGACAATGTAAATTATATATAAATACATTCCCCACATCAGAGCGTATAACTGTCTATTTCTCACAACTTTTCCCACCTCAGTTGTGCAGTTGAAAAGATAAACTATTTTAAACATACAAAAAATTATGTTGAGAAAGCATATTTTTTCAAATATTCAGGAATTTATAGAAATGAATATAACAGATTTTCAGATATAGCAGATATAAGAGGTGACCATGCAGTCACATTACACTGAACAAATACACACATTTTGACTTCTTTGTTTCAGATATTTTGAAATAAATACAACATTGCAGATATAAAGTCCCCTGAGTACCTCTCTCTAGCCCGTAACTATGTAAGTTCTCCAGAAGTAACCATTCCTGAGGTAGAGTTTTTCCTTTCCATCAATGTTTCATGCAGTTTGTTTATGCGTGTGTCCATATCAATACATAATATTATTTTGTGGGTTTAAAAATTAAATGTATAATATTATTTGGCTCAAGTTGCATATTCCAACTTGACTTCTTCATTCAAGATCAAGTTTTTCAGATTTTTCCCCCCCAGATTGCTATGTTAGATGTTATTCGTTTTAACTACTATGGAGATTACATTTGAGAAGAAGCCACAACTGGGTATATCCATTTCCCCACTGATGGGCCAAATAGCTACTTCGAAGAAGCAGCTCCTTTCTTTCCCACTCTTCCAACTTCTGCCTCAGTACCTTCATTATTCCTTCCTGATTCCAATTATTGGCTCTATTCTAGAAGCCTTCTTAACTTACTTGGCTCCCATGTTGAAGGAAGTAAATTAATACTTGAACTAAAAAAAAATGGCACCTTAAGGAGTACAAAGTTTTAAGCTCTGAAATGATGACTTGAAGATGCTCTGTGGGTTCATCTGAGGTTGGTAAAGATGCTCTGACTGGGACAGCAAAAGCATGGGGCTCTGGGATGAGACAGCTTGAGCTTGAATTCTAGCTCCACTCTTTCTTAGCCATGTGATCTTGGCAATTCCCTCTAAACCTACACAACTCTCTAAATCTCAAATCATCGATAGCTTATAGAGTTGTTTTGAGCATTAAATGAAAGGGTTCATATAAGGCTATAGTGCAGCACCTGGCACAGGGTAGGTTTTCTGTTCATCTTGTTATGGGTAATGGTTACTAGCTTACTTGAATACAGATACCTGTATTTTGGTTGTGGGGTCTATGTGAGGATCTAACTCTGCCACTTCGCTGAAGCTGTGTGTGTGTGTGTGTGTGTGTCTGTGTGTGTGTGTGTGTGTGTGTTCAAGGAGGTTGGAAAGGGAGTTAGTATGAAGCTCTTATAACTTTAGGCTTATATGAAAGATATCCTAACTCAGCTTCAAAGACAAGAAGGACTTTTTGATGTGTTGAGAATTCTATATTAATTCAAGGGGATGGTTCAGTATCTTAACATCTTTTAGGAGCATTGTCAATAATGATGTAGAAAGATTGTGTTGAAATATATTCTATATAATTTTCCACTACATTAAATATAATTTAAAATGATCTTTTTATATGTGTGCTTTAACCTATCTGAGGCCCCCATGAACCTAGTCAACTTTTGATTTAAACCTACCTCTAAATGAAAATTTGTCCTGGAACATAAACATTTGTCTATGCAGATAAAGATAGTGATGGGCCATCAACTTTAGGGCAAAAACTTTGTGGTTTTAGGGATTTCAGTGACTCTTGTCTTCATTCTCAGAACACATTTGTAGTATACTGCTCCTTGAGGCATTATTCAGCCAAACACACAGAGATGCTACTGAAAGAGACAAGGTTTGTTCTTTACTGGGAAAAACACTAAAGCTAAAGGTGGAATGGGAACCTCTTCAGAACAGCTCTTTCTTCCAAGTCTCAAATAATAAGTAAGGGTTATTCAGAGATTGGTCGTCTCTAATGGCTCTACTAGGACGGAACAGTGACTGTGATGATTACAGCCAGAGACACAGGAGGAAGTAATGCTGAACACTTGAACACAAGGAAAATTCACACAGAAGCTTGGTCATTGTGGAAATAATTTTAAACAGTGATGCACTATGTGAGAGAATTGTGTTGGTTAAGTCCCAAACTCTCAAGTAATCAGCAGTGGGTCATGGTTCTTTCACAGTCAGTCTGAGTTCTTATTCTCTTTATTCTATGGGCACCCTGTCAGTTTCATTTCTTTCACAGGGACAGAAAATAAAGAGTTAAGGGCTTTGGGAAATACTGAATGTCTCTGTCAGGACCTGGCTCCTAGTCCTGCACCCATTTTCCAAAACTGCATGCATTATGCAAAGACTTTCCTCCTCCAAATACCATAGCTTCTGTAATAACAACTGAAATAACATTAAAAATAATTTCTACTGCCTTCATACAATGACTATTAAATCTTTGAGGACTGTACGTAGGACTACTCAGTAAGATGATATAAAGATGATTTTCATTAAGGGACAAGATACAAGATCATGTAAACATGTGAACAGGAGCCAGCAGTCTGCTAAGTAAGGAAAATCTGGCCACAAATTCTATACTAAAACTCATTTTAAGTATGAGATTTTTTTTTTTTTAGAGAATTCAAATTCTTATGGTTGATGGATTCCAATAGATTTCTGTTTTTCTATATTTCAGTAGGATTCTGTTTTCCTATATTTTGCTATAGGAACTTTTTCATTTTGACAGTCTTTTACAAGTGAATATTTATATTTATGCATTTCAAATTTCAGTGAGAGGTTAGGAGTAGAGAGCCCTGTAGATGTCCTTGCAGAGATTTACCGAGACAAATCCCATATGTATTTCCTAGGAAGAGATCTTTGATTTTTCAGTATTTTGCGAGTTAATGGAAATTTGCACATCAGATTACCTCAGCAATAAGAGTGCAGAAATCTAAAAATAGAATGCCGAGAACAGAACCTGAAAGGCGGGGTGGGGCAAAAAGGGAAGAAATGAAGAAGAGATTCTTATATGGATTTAGGTCTCATGAGGTATCAGGCTCTCAGTGAAAAATTCAGATTGTTTGAGATTTATCAAGTAATTGTTATTTTTCTTTTTACAGATACGCATACCTGTTTCATAATCTCTCCTGGCTGTAAACCTGAGCCCCGATGCTTGACCTATTGTAAGTCAGAAAATCATGTATGGAAAAATACAGCTTTGCATTTTAGCCTCTTTCCTGTCATTACTTAAAAGAAAAAAAAAAGATTTAAATCAAAATGGTTAGGAGGAGAAAAACCTTTTTGTTCCTGTAAGCAAATGTCTGACCTTGTTATGAACTGATACACTGCGTAGGTCTGGCTTTACTCATTTAGACTCCCAGAGTCGCTCTTGTGATCCGGGGGGGGGGTACTCAGTACATCATTGCTCCTGTTGGTGGTGATGAATCTAGGTAACAAAGGAGTGTGGAGATGCATTTTTCCCTTTTGTGACTTGATATAAAAAAAATTCCTTTTCAAACCGTTGTGGGAAGGTATCCATTAGTAGGATTTACAACGGTGGATCGTTTATGCACCCTATGATAATTTGGTTTAGATACAAGAGTTTTTATCTTCCCATGGAAACAAATTGGAAAGGAATAATGAGACACCATTTGGAATCGTTGGCAACTTTAAATGTTCAAAAAACCGAAATCACAAAAGCAGGAGAACAAAAGACCTCATCCTGGCTGATTAGATGATTTAACCAGCAGTTGTTATTGGCACCAAAACGTCGGCTAGACTGTTAGGAAAAAATCTCAGGGGCTGGTAACTGTCCTCTGTGGGGAAAAGATCTAAAGTGTGTCCCTCATTATACCTTTTGGTACACAGATTTCCCTTATGAATTTCTAATTGGAAGGAAAATACGAAGATAAGGCATTACAAGAAAAACCAGGAGTGGGACACTCAGTAATAAATGTAACAGCCGTGTAGCAAGGAGCTTTATCCTTTGCACTTGGGGAGCAGTCAGGGTATCAAGTCTTGTATTATCAGGGTGTCTGTCTCCTCCTGCCTGCGTTGAAGCACCCATGGCTCCTGTATTGATGTTCAGAGAGAAAGATCCCAGGAAAAATGGATTGGAAAAGTACTTTTATTTATTGTAAAGGGCGGCTGCAGTGTGGAGTGAGATGTACAAGATCTTTTTGCAAACATTAAGCAGTGTGTGTCTATTTTTGGCATCACATTATAAATAGGGCTCGTGCCTATTGTGATACAGAAAAAAAATGCTTTCAAGGAGATTCACATTCAGCTCTACTATTTTATAATATTTAAGGCTGCAGTATTGTCACAGATGATGCTAATTTGTTAGCTAGGTAAGTCTGAGCCCTCAGCCCTTAGTACATGTAAGGATAGTGGTCAGGAGAAGTTTTGAGTGTCTCCTGACAAATCCCCCCACCTCCATTTGACCACATACATTGAGATTAGCGAAGTTCTCTATTTGTTTGTTTTTGTTTTTGTTTTTGTTTTGGGGTTTTGTTTTGTTTTTGCACTTTTTTGAGATTACAAGCAACTGGATGTTTTGTGTTCATGTCCAGCTCATGTGACAGTCTTCATTCACCCAGGACGAGAAAGGGCTCTTTCTTCTCCTGTAGTCTTCAATGAAGTCCCCTAGAGCCAAGTTCTACATTCTTTAGCCTGACTGTGTTGACTTTTGTTTTATATGTACCTCATCAACTTTCAATGGACAGGCTGAAAGTTAGGCAATTGAGGTTTTTCTTTAACCTATGGAATTCAACTTGTTTCAAATCGTTGGCCAGTAAAACCATACAGGTTAGTTTCACACAGTGTATAATCTGAGCTTCCTGTTTGATCAGCACAATCCTCAAAAGAATGTTATAAGCCTAACTATGTTAAGAAGAGATTCCAAACTTCACAGTGAGCTCTTGCAGCCTGGCCAGTTTGAATCTCTTCCTCACTACTGTGTGAAGCCATTCTGTACTATTCTTAAGTGAGATGCAATAGTCAGCAAACAGCGAATAAAACCCTGTGCCCTGGAAAAGACCAATGGGCAGAGCGTTTGATCACAGAAGAGCAGAAATGAGTTCCAGGAGGAATGCTAAAGGCCAGATGGCTTGCAGAGGACTGCCAAGATTTCAGAGGCCCCAGGACAGCCAAGCCAACGAATGGATTGTGCTCTGCCTATTATACAGATAGCCAGCCCTAGGGCACGGAGTCCTGGATATTTAACAGAGAAGACGTGTGCAGGATTAGAAAAAACTGGGAGTTTCTACTTAGCTCCTCCTAATAGTGGCTGGGCTTTGTGATCTTTGCATCTACTGCCTTTTGCTCATTTGCTCTATTGCTCATTGATTGTATAGGTTCTGCTTAGATGATGTTTGATTCTCTCTGACTACCCTCCTTCCCTTACACAATCACTTACTGAGTGGCTGATAAATCCTAAGCAGTATATTAGAGCTAGATATATAATAATGAACAAGATGGACATGGCTTCTGCCCTCATGGCGTTTATGGTCTAGTGGGGAAGACAGGAAAAGGGACAAGTAGTTACAATAATGCATAATAAGGAATGTGAAAGAGAAGGTACAGAGCCCTATACACGCACATAACAGGGAACCTAATGTAATCTAGGGATCAGACAAGGTCTCTCTGGAAGGAATACGTGGGCTGAGACCTGAAGGATAAGTAGGAGTTTGCTAGTAAGTGAGGAAATATGCCAGATAGAGAGGACAGTGTGTATGAAGTGAAACTGAGAGACATTTTGCGTAGTTGAGCAATTTGAGGGTGAAATGGAGGAGCTTGGGGGGGGTTCCTGTTTTTGTCCCTTTCCTTTCCTATACCCTAGGGTATAAGGAAGGCATGAGGGGCGTGGGGAGAGACTTTTGGTGGGCACAGAGATTTAAATTTTGGCAGGAGTGGGTAATTTATTAGAAGTGGGAAGAATGTCTCCAGAAATGCATCAAGGGAACACAAATTGACTGAGTCACAAAAGCAGAGATTAGGGTTAAATTATTCGTATAGTGTGGTTGTTAGTTTACCGGGAGGTTAAAGTGAAGAGGAAACAGCTTGAGAATCAGTAGACTATACAAGTAACTGAGATAACCCAGATAGTATGTATATAGAGAGAAGAGAAGACTTAAAAAAAATTCTGAACATTGGCATTAAGTTGACAGAGGAAGAACTGTAAAGAAGATTAAGAAGGAGGAACCATAAAGAGAGGAGAAAAACTAGCAAACTGGTATCACAGAAGTGACAGGAAAGGAATCCTGGGGCCAAGAGTCACCTCAGGAAACAAAATTTAAGGGGGTACCAAAAAAACAGTAATTAAGATAATGGAGTGTTTAAAGAAACTAAGTTAATGCAGAAAGTCCATGATGAGTAAAACATCAAACTTAAAGACAAGATCAGAATGAATGAATTTTCATTTTGTATCAGGCTCCAATAAGGCTCCTCAGGACACTTTATACAATTAGATTTAGAAATCTTTAATATTTAGAGTTTGATATTTTGTTCATATAGAAAGAAGGAGTGATGAACTGTGTTAAATGTGGCTGAGAATTCAGTCAAGAAATGGTTTGAAATGAGCCCACTGGATTTAGGACAAGTTTTATTACTGTATCATTTCTCTACCTTGTTTTAATAAATCACAATGGAAGTTATCTTATTGTCTCTGCAAACATGATCATCACCTCCTAAAAAGCTCAGTCCTTTTCTGAATTAGGAGATTGTATAAACACAGACATTCATTTTTTTCTTAAACTTAAGCAAATTCTGATAAACTACTCATAGTATAAAATTTACCATTTTAACCATTTTTAAATGTACAGTTCAGTGATATTAAGTACCTTCACATTGTTGTGCAGCCATCACCACCATCCATCTCCAGAACTCTCTTCATCTTGTAAAACTTAAACTCTATACCTGTTAAAAACTTTTTTTGATTTAAAGTCTATTTTGCCTGATATTAGTACAGCAATATCGTGCTCTTTTTAGGTTAATACTTGCATGCATTATCTTTTTCAATCCTTTCACATTAGTGACTTAGAATCTAAAATGAGTCTCTTCTAGACAGCATATAGTGGGATCACGGTATTTCTTCCCATTCTGCCAATCTCCTTTGATAGGAGAGTTTAATCCATTTATATTTAAAGCAGTTACTGATAAGGAAGGACTTCTATAATTTTGCTGTTTGTTTTCTATATGCCTTACAGTTTTGTTAATTGAAGTATAGTTGATTTACAATGTTACATTTATTTCATGTGTACAGCAAAGTGATATATATATATATATATATATTAGATTCTTTTCCATTTAGGTTATTACAAAATATTGAATATAGTTCCCTGTGCTATTCAGTAGGTTCTTCTTGTTTATCTACTTTGTATATAGTAGTGTATATCCCAAACTCCTAATTTATCCCTCCCCACCTTTCCCCTTTGGTAACTATAAGTTTGTTTTCTATGTCTGTAAGTCTCTTTCTGTTTTTAGATTCCACATGTAAGTGATATCATATGATATTTTTCTTTCTCTGTCTGACTTACTTCACCTAGTATAAAAATCTCGAGGTCTATCCATGTTGCTGCAAATGGTATTATTTCATTCTTTTTATGACTCAGTAATATTCCATTGTATATATACACACCATATTTTCTTTATTCATTCATCTGTTGATGGATATTTAGGCTGCTTCCATGTCTTGGCTATTGTAAACAGTGTGGCTGTGAATATTGAGGTACATATATCTTTTTGAATTAGAATTTTCTCTGAATATATGCCCAGGAGTAGAATTACTAGATCATATGGTAGTTCTATTTTTAGTTTTTTAGGGAACCTCCATACTGTTCTCCACAGTGGCTGCACGAATTTACATTCCTGCCAACAGTGTAGGCAGGTTCCCTTTTCTTCTCACCCTCTCCAGCATTTATTATTTCTAGCCTTTTGGATGATTGCAATTCTGACCAGTGTGAGGTGATACCTCGTTGTAGTTTTGGTTTGCATTTCTCTGGTAATTAGTGATGTTGAGCATCTGTTCATGTGTCTGTCGGCCATCTGTATGACTTCTTTGGAGAAATGTCTATTTAGGTCTTCTGCTTGTTTTTTGATTGGGTTGTTTGTTTTTTTTGATATTGAGCTATATGAGCTGTTTGTGAATTTTTGAAATTAATCCCTCATGAGTCACATTGTTTGCAAACATTTTTCTCCCAGTCTGTAGGTTGT